AACAATTTTTATATTTGTAGCTGATTTTATTCAGTCATCTACAGTAACTTTAGATATATTTTTTGTTTTGATTTATTTAGTAGTTAGTACTTTGCAATTAATAATTTTACTTTATATTGCTCATGTCATAATTCATGTCATGTAGAAGTTTAAAATAGACCCTGATAATTCAGCCATTCCATACTTAACTGCTCTAGGAGATTTATTAGGATCTATGTTTCTCATGTTGGCGTTTATACTTTTGCAGTCCATTGATAAATCGTATAATAAACAAGAAGTACATATAGCTTTGTTGCCATGAAACGACTTTCATGAACAAATTTTATTTAATATTTATTACATTTGAATCATTTTTTGTAGGACATTATAGTATATTATATTGTATTATATTATATATATACATATTTGTTTATATATGTATATATATATATATATATATATATATATATATATATATAATATAGCTGTTGTACAAGTGCAAGCTATTGTCGCATCTTTAGTTGTTGCTGTTTTTGCAATATCTGTAGGATCACTTATGCGCGGAGAATACAAGAATGAACCCGCATTAATGCTGTGTACATCTAGTGTTATAACGGCAACTCGTTCATGCTTTGCTTTAGAATTTGTTCTCATAGACGTAATTTTATTGTCGCGTCAATTGCACCATAATCCAGATAATGTTGCAACTCCTTTGGCAGCTGACAAATTTTATTTTTCTATTTATTACATTTGAATCATTTTTTGGTAGGACATTGTAGTATATTATATTATATCATATTATATTATATTATATTATATTATATTATATTATATTATATATATATATATATATATATAATAATAATAATAATAATAATAAAATTCTTGTTATTGTATATTATAGATTTTATTTTTAGTAAATTCTTGTTCACACAGTTCAGATATGTGATACGAATTGTTTTATTGCAAATTAAAGGTTTAAAATACATATTGTGTTTTTATGCTATGCATATTTTGAAAAAGAGCTCGCTCGTAGGTAAGTGGCTAGAACGACTGGACCTGGATCAGGGTTCCCGGGCTCGATACCCACTTCGAGCAGGCTATTGTCAGGCAGCAGTGACAACGATTTTCACTTGGAAATATAGATAGCAATATGTTTCCAAGTGAAAACAGCCCTAATACAGCATTGCTGCACCAATTAAATGCATCACTATTACAGTAATAGTAATAATAAAAATTCAGCTCATAGAGATGAGACAACTGTTTGGGTTGCCATCTATAATAAAAACAAACGTAGTTTGTATATAAAATTATATATAAAAAAAAATATTTTAAAAAAGCAAGGCATATCAAAATGCAGAAAAAACATCTCTTTTCCAGGTATATTTATTATTTTTTGAAAGTATGTGTATTAATTTTCAGTTTCATGATTGATAACATTGTTTCTCAAAGTACTTGGGCTGGTGTCAACAACACCCGGCGCCAACATGATGTTAAGAGCGATAACAAGTTCAGCATTTATGTTTAAGTGATAATCATCTTATAGCACCTCTAATTATGACTCCGTCTACTAGAAGGTTGAAGAGAAAAATTCCTTTGGATTTAACATAACATAGTGAGCTGTTCATTGGAACGAATTATTTAGTTTATATTATAATTTTACCTTTAGTTTTAATTATGTTATGAGTTGTAATTATTATTATTTTTATTTTTATTTTTATATATTATTTTTATTATATCAGCTCTGTAACTCATAGAGTCATTTTGACTCTGATTGTTATAATTAATAAAATAAAATAAATAAAAAATAATGTTTAAGTGATAAACAGTATTAAAAATATCGAAGCAAATAAAATATACCGAGTACTGTAAAAAGTACGAATGCTAATAGACTGATAGCCAGTAAACCTTTTGAATAACGGTGTTCCTGTAAGGCAAAAAATTTTTGTACAAGTTATTCTTAACTAAACTAAACGTGCTAAGTACGGAAACGACGGTCTGTCAGGTTTTAACCCTGCACATCATGGTCGTCCAAACGTTTGAAAGTGTAAAAAACACCCCAAAATTAAACTTGTTCCTGTAATGTTCAAATTTTTATGTAATTTACGATGTAATTTATTCATTAAGAAGTTCGAAAATCAAACTACCAGACCATTTCGACCTGCACAAGGACCTGCCAGACGAGCCGGAAAGTGAGCAAAAAATCACCCAAAATAAATTGTGTCCTGTAAAGCTGAAATTCACATATGTGTTTATCTACGCAATTCTAAAAAGGTCTGTACAATTGCCAGACCATTCTGGCTAGCATAAGCCCTTGCCAGACAAGTGCAAAAATGCTATGACGGGAGGGCGAGTAATAGGCGTTGCGTGAAAACTTATAGCATATATTCTAACTATATTATCAGAAATCATAAATTATGATCAAAATAAATTTAATTAGTTACAATCAAATATATATTATCATGAATTAATCATTATTATCAGATATATCGCTAGTTAATACTTCATCGTCATACGATTTGCCATTGTTGACTTCATCGCCTATAAAAAAAAAATTTAAATATATTAATCATATATAAAAATGAATCGCAAAATGTGTTGGTAAGCGCATAACTCAACAACGCCTGGACCAATTTGGCCCATTCTTTTTTTTAAATATTCGTTGAAGTCCAAGGATGGTTCTGGTTGGCGAGAAATATCGAATAATTGCCGAGAAAACCTTAAAAACAGCCCTTTTTTTCTCATTCAAACGTTTTAGTAACTAACGTATTTAGTAATTCTAACTGAAACGTAGAATCAATTTGAGCTTTATTGCTATTAAAAGTATAGTCCTTCTAGACGATTATTCGGTTTTTGATAAATCTTTCTGAAGTTTGTTAAGGAAATTTTCTATGATGTATGTGATTATAAAGTACGTTGATGTATGTGCAATATTGTGAAAATAAATGGAAACTAGTGGGGTGTATGGCATCGTGGCTCAAGGCAAATTGCTGGAACTTCCCGTACCGTAACGAAAATGTTTGAGGAATATTGAATGTTTTCAAATAGATTATTATAAATATTGTAACATTATCTAATATTTATAAAAATTATATAAACTGAATTACAAAATTGAAATTATTTGTTTAACCCTCCGTCGGTCGAAATGGTCCGGCCAGACTTTTTTCGATTTCAATTTAAAAAAAAAACACTTTTAGTAATGAACGACTTGAAATTTCTTGACTTTTCCTAACATTTCATTAGCTGTCGATCAAGAAAAAAATCTGGACGAAAAAATGTACAAAAGGATAATTATAAAGATACTAACTTTTTTATACTTTGAACGGTCGGAGTGGTCTGTCTAGACTACCGTACATTTTGTATGAAATATGTACGCGTTTTGGACGGTCTTTTGTCTTTTTCTCTGGCATTTTCTATCCAAACTGCGTTTTATATATCCTTTGATATGTGTTGTAACATGAATGTTAGTATTTACACGCACACATATGAAAATGCCTTGAAAACCTATCAAACTTATTAGTTGTCGCAAACATTGAAAATTGGATGAATAATGCGCACATATTGAATACCCGTACTGCGTTCGAAACTTTTTTTGGAAAAACTTTAGCCGTAAGTAGGCAATTCAAGTGAAATTATATTTTTACATTGAGTTCTACAGCTCATTCCAAAGGCGACGCGCCTTATTCCGTTTGCATTTGAATTTCACATTCATTTCGAAGGCACCGAAGAAGAATAAATATTGTGTTTCTATGATATAAAACAGAAAAATTAACAAAAAGTGCAACGATTTTTTTATATTCCATTTTTTTTTAATATTTTTATTGGAGGCAAGCTCAACACATGCAAAAGAAGGTAAAAAAAATAAAACTATAAATATTTATTACTAATAATCGTTAATATATATGATACCATTAACTCATTTATCCCATATAAAAGCATGTAAAATGAATGGTGGTCCAGCCAGACCACTCCGACCAAAGGTAAATGAATATCTGACCAACGGAGGGTTAAAGTATATTAGAACTTTAGTCAGAATTAAAAATAAAATCTGAATTATTTTCAATGCCCAAAAAAAATTTTTTGAAAAAAAATGACTAGTTCTAGTCATTACTAATTGAATGATTTTTAGATCATTCAAATCGGATGTTCCGTTCTCTCAAAAACTCGATTTCTATTTTCTGCACTTTTTGCTCTTGATCTCGATAGCTGCTGGACCTGCCTTTTCCAAAAACTTATCAGCACATTTCCCTATCATTAGTAATCTAATGTTTTTTGAACCATTCAAATGGGTTGATCCGTGCGCCCGAAAATTTGTATTCACACATCATACATACACGCACACATATCCAGTTTTTCTGAGGTATTCCAAAATGTTCAGAAACCTTCAAAACGTCGAGAAATGCAAAAAATTTTAATTTCGATTTTTGGACGATTACAAAAACTTACCCTAGAGGAAGATAAAAATTGCAAAAAACGACATGTCACTGTTCGCATTGAAAATAAATGAAAACTATCATCTGCGAAAAATTTCAATTTACTTATGAACCTAAACAATATTAGAATATGTATAATAAATTTATGATTAGGAATAAGAAAAATGAAATATCTACATTATTGTTGCCTAAAAGCAGCTTAGATGTGCCAGAAATTAAAATATGAAATACAGTATATGTACTGCAGATTGAATTATGCACATATGTATAAATATGACAAATTAATTCACTTAACCCGGTGCCAATGACGCTGGGTCATAATGACCCGAGACGTTTTTTAACGAACATATATTTTGTTTACCCGGGTTATGTGGTTTAAGCGTTTGAGTAGCTGAAGCGATGCCTCCCCGCTACCCGCCCCGATGGTTCGCTCAGTGCGACGCCGCCCGCGCAACGAGCAACTCGTGCGTCAAGTCCAATCGGGTATGTTTGACCCAGCGTCATTGTAAATGTAATATTTTCGTGACATACTTTTATTTTCTATTTAGTGATTTTATATTTATTTTTTGTGTTCTTTAAACAAACAAACGGCAGATTCCACCTCAATTCATTACAACACGTGGAAAATGTCCAGGATCATCTACCTTTGGACATCAAAAGGACATAACTCTAGTCTCCTACATTCCAAAGAAAAATAAAGTTGTCTTATTGATGTCCAGTCTACATCATGACGAAAAAATTGATGAGTCTACAGGTGACAAAAGGAAACCAGACATCATATCCTTTTACAATCACACCAAGAGTGGAGTGGATGTAGTGGACAATCTTTCTGCGTCATACAACGTGAGTAGAAACACAAAACGATGGCCATTGACTATCTTTTTTGCAATGCTAAATATATCGGAAATAAACGCAAACATAATATACCGGGCTAATAATGATGATACACGCATGAAAAGAAGACATTTCCTAAAAAATCTGGGACTCGCCATGGTGCAGGAACATTTACAAGTGCGACGAGCTCGAGTGAATTTACCACGTCAACTGCGCAAAAGAATCGCACAATTCACAGGTGAAACCACAGATGAACCACCTCGAAAGATTCTAGGCGTTCGCAAGAGATGCCAAATATGTCCGTCCAAAAAAGATAAGAAGACAAGTCATACCTGTCATGAATGTCAAATTTATATATGCCCTGATCATTTTATTACCTACTGCAATAATTGTAGTAGTTCGATGTCAGTAAATGAGGAAATAGAAGACTGATTGGCATTTATAATTAAAAATAACTTAATTTGATCTCTTTTTTAGTATTATAAGATGTTTGTTACCAATGATTATTAACATTACTTAAACCAAAACTTATAATTAACATATGTTGTTTGTTCAAAGTTGATTTTGCATGTCTTGTTAAGTATGTCAATAAAAGTTTAATTATTATATATTAGTTTTATTTTATTTATTTTTATGCAGAAAATACCTTTATTTAGTAAACATTAATTACAATTTAGTAAAAGTATATATTTTTTATTATAAATCCTCAATAAAACGTCGGGTCAAAATGACCCAACGTCATCGTTCTTGCAATTTTTTTCGCGTCATTGGCGCCGGGTTAATATATAAAATTAAGTATTAATCAGCCTACCTTTAATGCGAAAAATACGAGCGTACGCCTTAGGGGGCGTCAACACAAGATTCGGATATTAAATTTTCAATATAGTTTTCTTCCATATACAATTTCTTTGCATCTTTTACTAATCTTTCCACAGTATTTTTATAATTCATAAAAATTTTACTTTAGAACAACAAATGGGAAGTAGAGATGAATACATACAATTCGGCCCTCACGATATCGATTAGGAGAAGTTTAAGATACAATTTTAGATATTTTAAATAATTAAAAATTAAATTAATTTAATCCAATATGAAGTACCAGTGTTATGTTATGATTATGGTTATGTTATACCGTTTGAAAGACTTTAATTTCCAATATAGTCTGAGGATTGAGACTCATCATTTTATTTAAAGTTCTACATTTAACATCGCTCATATTATAAATGTACATATATTTTGCCGTGACGAGTAATTTAAAAAACAATAATTTTTTAAATTTTTAAAGCATTAAAGGTAAACGGTAAATATTAGTATATTATATTGAAAAATGTAGACATAGGTACAGGACAACGTCTGTCGGGTCATCTAGTAATATAATAAAATATCAAATAACAAAAAAAATGTATGAGAAATACGAGAAGAATGTTGCCATATTATTTCAAAAATTGAAGAAAGAACGGTATCTCCCACAAACCAATTGAAATCAAATATTTTTTCAACCAATATCCAGCCAGTATTTTGAGGTTTGAGAATTGTTGGTACTTTTAAATAACTATTTGAAAACTATATCTACTCGTGGAACTAGTGCTACCGTTAAAATATTTTTTTTTTTCGAAATATTACCAAATGTTTTTGGAATATTTTTCATTGAATGCAGTAAATAAAATCCATCGAAAACAACAGCATCATACCAAATTGTTTTGGTATTTCGTTATCAGATATATTTGCTTGTAAGGCTTTAATCATTGCTGATTTCGCGGTTTTATAGATAGTTCCATCTGCATGGCAAAGTGAAACTAGTTGGTAGTGGTATTTTGCCTTGAGGCAAATTACATGAACTTAAACTGACTGACTGAACTGAACTGACTTAATCAATAAAAAATAAATTAATTCATGAGTGATTAAAAGTATTCCGAGTGGATTTATGACACATAATTGAAAACGAACAAACACGCTAACTCGAAGTATTTTCTAAAAGCAAATGTTCAAAAATCAATAATTTTTTAATTGAACTAGTTTTTGTAGGACTTTAATGGTTTAGGGTGTTCATTAGGACCAAGTCCTCTATCGTTATACCAAGTAAATCGTCCGATTTTAATTTTAACAAACGTCAAAAAAACTACTCATTTTCTCAAACTTTGATGAATTTTTAAAATTAAACTACTTGTCGTAATGCCGTAATATTTCACTAAGTTCTATAAGACCATGATATATATTTATATCACCAAAAATCGGCTTAAATATTTTTTTCAACAGTTAATTACAAGAAGACGACTCGGTAGATTTTCGCCTCAAACTAATCAGTATCATTCCCAACTAATATATTTTGAACAGTTTTTGATTTTTCAAAATAGAAACGGTAGTATATGCTTAAATGTGGACGAAATGTTTAACACATTTTTCCAAATTACAAAGAAACTGTTCGGCAGATCGTAGCACAAAACTGACAAACGATAGTCCTCATCGAGGTACATCAAATGGCTTTTGAATTTCAGAAATCGGTTCAGGCGTTTTTGAGCAAACGTCCATAAAAGGTCTAGTTTTAACAAATGCCAAAACAGCAATATAATTTTTTGCAAATTTGGATGAATTTTTAAAGCTAAACGAGTTGTCGTAGGGCCATAATTTTTTGGTATGATCTAGAAGACTATGGTCTCTACCGACAAAAAAATAATAATAAAAATTGTAGAAAAAAAAAATTCAAAACTTCATTACAAGAAAGCATGACCGATCACTACCAAAAACTAATCAGAACGATTCCCAAGCAATATCTTTCAAACGGTTTTTCAATTTTCATAATCTATTCAGAATTGCTGGCTAAAACGTGGTCAAAATTTTGTTCACTTTTCTGCTACTTACAAAGAAACAGCTTAGCCAATAGTCGCACAAAACTGACAAACAATAGTCCTCATCGAGATACATCGAATGGCTTTTAAATTTTTGAAATCGGTCCAGTCGTTTTTGAGAAAACGTCGATTTACTTACGGAAAAAATCTGTTCACACACACACATACTTTTTCCAAATTTTGTTTTCATTCGATTCAGAATGGCTTGAAACGTCGAGGAAAAATTAACGTATCGAATTTTTTGATGAAAACATATACTTCTCCTTCGGGTAGCTAAAAATTGTAATGTGATATGTTGTTTTTTCAAGTTCAATATTATATTGGATTTATCGGGCTAATAGGCGATCGAACAAATCACGTTGAACACAAATTTCGTGAATTTTATTATTAGCTTTAATAGGTTACTTCTTTTTTTCTGAAAAAAAAAATTCATAATTTTTACCTGTGAGTTTTTTTCATCAAATCTCTTACCCTCCGTTGAACATTCAGAAATAAATGTTTTTTTCGAATTTTTACCTATTTTCAGAAAATTCAATATATACTCAATAGAAGCCTGAATTGAAGTATTAATTAATATATATTTAATTGCGACTAATTAAATTTATTTTGACCATACTTTCTCATAATATAGTTTGAATATATGCTATAAGTTTTCACGCAACGCCTATTACTCGCCCTCCCATCATAGCATTTTTGCCCTCGTCTGGCAAGGGCTTATGCTAGCCAGAATGGTCTGGCAATTGCACAGACTTTTTTAGAATTGCTTAGATAAACACATATGTGAATTTCAGCTTTACAGGCCAAAGTTTACTTTGGGGCATTATTTGCTCACTTTCCGGCTCGTCTGGCAGGTCCTTGTGCAGATCGAAATGGTCTGGCAGTTCGTTTTCCTCAATGAATAAATTACATCGTATAAAAATTTTAAGCTTACAGGAACAAGTTTAATTTTCGAGATTTTTTACACTTTTAAACGCCTGGACGACCATGATGTGCAGGGTTAAAACCTGCCAGAGCGTCGTTTCCGTACTTAGCACGTTAAAAATCACCTGTACAAAATTTTCAGCCTTACAGGAACACCGTTATTCAAAAGGTTCACTAGCTCTCGGTTCATTAAAACTAGTCCGTTGCGCGTGATTATTGACACCGCAAGCGATCGCAACTATGTTACTGAGTCATTCTGTAAATCCGCTCAACTAGAGATAACACCGATCAAGGCTCAAGTCATTTCTATAGGTAACTCTTCACAAAAAATACGGGCATGGCAAATTTTATTATTATGTTCCTTCATGTAATACATGAAATTGTCAAACCACAACGGATCATTAAAATTCCCTTCGATTCCATTAATAAATTTTTATCTTTACAACTGGCGAATAATAAATTTTTCATTGCTCAAACTGTTAATGGAATCTTGGGTTGTGATGTATTTAACGCTATTATTATGTCAAATCACATAAAAACCGTCGATTTACCTATCGCATTGGATACTAAATTGGGTTATGTAATAATGGGATCTATTCCAAACGTTGCATCGCCTGATTCAAGTTCGACAAATCTATCCACGATTGAACATGATTCCTTATCTAAACAAATCAAAACATTTTATGAGTTAGAAGATGTACCTATTATTGCGAACAGTTCTATACGTCCACCAAAATACGGAATTTCGATGGACGTTACGTGGTCGCATTAACATTCCGTGACAACGTTAATGTAAATTTTCAAAAATCATATGAATTCGCGCATAAACGTTATTGTATTTTAGAACAAAAATTTTGGAAATCTTCTGAATTCCATAAACAATATTCAGAAGTAATTCAAGATTATTTACAACAAAAACACATGTCATTTTTTGGCCATGTAAATGATTCCGCAGCCAATGAATGGTTGTATATTCCACATTTCGCTGTGATTAAAGACAGCTCATGTACACCATTACGAATTGTATTTGATGCATCAGCAAAAAATGCTGAATTTCTTTCCCTGAATGCGAACCTATTTTCCGGGCTAAAACTACAGTCTAACATTATCACAATTATCCTTAACTTTTGTTTTGGCGAAATTGCGTTAACGGCCGATATTAAACAAATGTATAGAAATATATTAATTCGTGATCAAGATAGACGATTCCAAAGGCTACTTTGGAGATTTTCTCCAGAAGATTCCCTCGGCATTTATGAATTAAACACAGTCACGTTTGGTATTACGTCATCTCCTTTTCGTGCGTTACGCACTATTAAACAACTAGCTAAGATGAGAGCAAAAATTACCTCTTAGCCACTGATATAATTGAAAATGATCTTTATATCGACGACGTGGTTACTAGTGCAAACACAGTCGAAAAGACAAAAAAAAATTACGTTCAATTGTCGAGTTTGTTCCGTTCCGCGCGTTTTAAACTTGCGAAGTGGGCTTTGAATGATCGTCTGTATAAACAATTTGAATATATAAACAATTTGAATCACACCATAAAACACAAATTAATTTTTCATGCTAATTCATTTTATCCGCTAATTAAATTTGATACGTCCGTTAAAGTATTAGGATTGATATGGGATCTAATTTAAGATTGTTTAAAATTTAATA